CTCCGAGGACCATTCTATCCCCCATCTGACAAGTCTGGAAATCTAAAAAATACTTGAAACATAGCTAATCAACGATGCTGATCATCGCGACAATGTTTAGTTTTCTTCACAAATTGAAGGAAGTTCACCTGCGCGATTTTTCTCGAAAATCGAGTTTTCCGTATTTCCATGTGCACTTCAAATACTTATAACTCATTCATTTTTCGTCGAAACTGACTCAGAATCTCGCGAGATAGGTAGTTTTGACCAAGAAAAATAGCAGAACTCGAGGTAATTCGCGTTTTCTCCCCCATAAGAGCACTTTTCCATAACGTAAAGTCATATTCGGAATCACCGTGAAAAACTACGTCCAATGTTATATAGCTTTTTAATTTTTTTTGCAGAAATATTTTCGGTCAAACTGAATTATACAGTTGAAAGCCTGTCCGCAGCAAATTTTGCTTAGGAAATTGGATATTTATTTTAGCAATAGTACGCAAGTGTATAAACACATTTTTTATAGATTTTCAAATATGATCTCTCCAATAGTGAGGTTTTCGAAATGTAAAAATACTTTTTATGGGTTTTCCAGAGATCCGATAAAATCCACAAGGAACTACTTTTGAGTTCTGAAAATCTCATCATTAGAAAGAGCATATTCGAAAACCAATAGAAAAACATGTTTATAGGCTTTCATACCGGTTCTACAGCATATGTCCGCCTGCTCTATAGAAAAATGCCCACTATGGCTGGACGGCTTTTCGAAAAAGTGACTTGTATGCGTGACAAATCTTCCGCGAAAGTCTAATTTTAACACAAAACAATGTAATTTAAATTTCTTTTATAAGATAAAGAGGTTGCAGTATGCATGTTAGAAAAATGAACGATGTGCTGAAAGTCAATAGTTAGTTCGGACACACAGCGTTGTTAGGTATTCGAACGTTTTTCAGACTGTTATCTACAGAATTACGTGAAATGTCAAATAAGTAGCTTACACGTTTCTCCACTAAGGATACAATATTGCTGCTTGTATGCCTGTCTATGATTTTTTTCTGCTTCTTTCTTGACGTTTACTATGTATAATATATTCCTAACACCAACAATGTTAGATAACTCTACTACTACTACTACTAATGAATTGTGAAGGTTTGTGCAGTGGCGGTGGCATTTTATCAAAAAGTACTACACTGATAGGTATCAGCACTGCATTGTCACGCCATAATCGTGCGGCACTGTCTGAGCACTTCTCTTATGAAATGGAAAAGATGAGGTCAAAAGGACACTTGAAATATTACACGTATACTGTGTTGTTACATACAGAAAGATTAACAAAATAAAATTTATTTTGTAATTGAAAAGAATATAATATATAATTTGTCATCATGTAACGTTCATGTCTGATAAGGAGATAATGAGGTGAACTCACTCTCACACTAGTTTCCGATACTAAAGTTCAATTCTCGGAAGAGTCGGTCATGTCATGCCTGGTAGTGGTATGTGTCACTTTCATTTGGCGCACGTTTCAAATACTCCTCTTCGATTAACTTATCGATACATGTCTGCATAGAAAGAAAGAGAAAATTCGTGATTGCACAAGCAGTAAAAGAATCTCGTAGTTACTTTGATGACTGATACGTCTGGTCTAAACTGTGCCGATAATTGCTTTAAAACTTCTCCGATCAACTGTGTATCTTTCGACGTTTGTCTCATTTTCATTATTCGCACAACGACCGCCTAAACATAAACAAAACCTTTTAGCAAGTGTCAGGAGTCAAAGGGTTGTGTAAATACTTGAATAACTAGTTTTCTATCTTTGTCAATTGTGTCTCGAACGCACTGCGAGTCATCGTTAACTTCGACTTTAACTGGTATGTTTAAGTTGACTCGAGTTCTTTTACTGAAAGAAGTAAGAAAGATTTATCTCTTCTAAGATTAACAGACGATGTCTTCTTACTTGTTGTAATCCGTGTTTAATTTGAGTACATCTTCCATTCGAAGCGAATTTTCCCCTACCTCTTCACTAGTGCATGAATGCTTGATTATTTTTGATTTTAACAACTGCTTAATCACCGGTAGTAATGTTTCTAATGTCATTTGTGTTTCATCTTGGATTGTTTTGACAATTAATTCTGGATATTTATTGAATAATAACAGAATGCTCATTTGACACCCAGACACCTAAAGATTCTATTCTGTGTAGATGCATGCAAGATAGAGTTTAATTTCATTCATACTTGCAGAATGAACTTCAGCTTTAGATACAGTGTTTGAAGTTCGCCTTTTGAACGTTGATGTAACCAGATCAATTTTCGTTTGTTGTGTTGCTTCGTATAGAATTCTGTGAAACTGTCAAATGCTGGTTTAAGCTAAAAACAGGAATTCATTTGGGCATTTAAACATTCTTTAGTTAATTTACTTCTGGTGCTAAATTAATTGTTGAGGACGACGGAAATGGCCAGGAATTTGAATTGAAAATCATTACGGAAAAATCAACTAAAATACAGCAAATTTTCCTCTTCTTGCAACAAGATGCCGATTCGAATCTACGTACGTGTTGTTCTTTCATTTCTGTTTTCCAACCACATAACGTATTCTTCATTCATATTTTTACTAATAGCAACGTCTTGAAACATTCTCCGAAATTTTGACGTATATTCCAATCCACATGCTGCCTATCGAATATGGCAACAGTGCCGTATAAAAATATCGAACGCTGTTTCACGATATTCTCAGTATTCTCGAGACTTTTCCTTTTTTTTTCGAAAGTGAAAAACTAAACTACAAACATACATCAAACAAATTTTTCTGGCGTAAAAGCTTATTAAGAAAAAATGGAGGAATTAAACAGAAAAAAGTGTTTGTACAATGCGACATAACAAAAAGATTTTTCACTAGTGTCATCAACAATCACTTCTTTCTAGTGCCAAATACGTGAAGAAACAGTCTGTGAAAAATTTTATAAAAATTTTCAATTTACTTTTAATGATTTTCTGGAATGCTTTCTAAAAGTTAGTTTTCTGAAAATAGAATGAGAACTTTCAGCAAGCGTCATGAGAAGTAGAAACTAACTAAGAATAAATTTTATTTTTACATTAACGCATAGGATATTACATAGAAATGCAAAACTCTGTTCAAAAGTTGAAAAAAATTGCCATCTGTTCATAACAAAACTGATGATTAATTCACATATAGAACTATTTCTCGAATTCACCGATTCTTCCTCTTTTGAATCAGTATCTTTTTCGAACTCATTCTCATATATCTTTCTGACAGTAAATTCTAGTTTGCATAAGCGTCATTTGAGAAAGAGTTACGCCACCGAAAAATCTATTTCACGCAAATTTCGTACTTCATACTTTCCCGTTCTAACGAAAAAAGAAATCTTTAAAATATTAGGATATCGAGAAGGAATACTGTGATTTTTATACAGCACTGTTACCTCACCAGTTAGATATTAAGTATACAACAATTTCCAAATGCTCTACTATGACTGCTTACTTTTAATTTGATTATCATCGACTTCTCTGATTCATCGGACGCCGATAACTGTCCGACTAAACGTTTAGCTAACATCCTTTCATAAAACTTTTGAAATACATCTTTATCTTCAATGTAACTGAACACGACCATTATTTGATTCAAAATTTCTTCGATTTCTATTTCGTCCTTGCCTTTCGTTCTTTCAAGAAAAAGTATGGTATGACCACAGTAATTTGAATGAGAAACATCTTTATCTACCCTTTTTCAATAATGAATCACAATAGCGAGCCAACAATTCGGATGATTTTTTTGCTCCACCTGCTCTTTTTGTCACCATATTTTGATTGATAAATTTCACACAAGCATATAGAAGAAGATAAGCAAAAATATTGACGAACGAAAAAAATGCCAGTAGATTCGCGACATACTTTATCGAGTGCTTCTGTGAAATCGCGTTCACCAATAAATGATTCTTGAATGATTATCAGACATCTGTTATATACATCAAGAATTGTATGCACATATATTTTAGGATCCTAAAACAAGCGAAATTTTTGTCCAATGAACGTAAAAGAATTTGATCTTACATTTATTGCTTGTACACTGACAGCGTGAATGGCCTGTAGACCTTTTGTATGAATATGTTGTTCTATAATCTTCTTCAGTTCAGTCTTGGCTTTCGGCATCCAATAAATCAGTTTGAACAGCTTTTTCAAGACTAGAAACAGAATGATTACAAAAGTTTCAAATCTATTTATCATCTATCTACCATAGTTATTGTTGTTATTTAACAACATTTCGAATTCAGCATAAATTGGTTCTAACTGATCCTGCCTCAACAAATTCGAGCATATGTCAATTAACTGTTTCATTGTTGACTGGCGTAAATAAATCATACGTTGTTGTTCTTTATTAAGATATGCTTCAAATGTCGTCAAATATTCCATTACAGAATGATTACTCAAATACTTGACTGTTTGTAATTTATAATAATGTTCAGTATCAATTAAAAATTGTTTTTCAAAGTACTCTTCATACACGTTCACTGGTATATGTGTCGATGGTGATGCTTCTCCAATGTAACCAAGCACAACTAGAGAAAGCACAACAATAACAGATGGGATCGGATGAACTTACGATCTCGATCTGAAAGATTTTCAGAGGTGCCCTGGACACTATGAAACTGTAAGTCCACTGACAAATGTGTTTGGCTGCCTTAGAAGGGTATATGCTGAAAACTTTTAGCGTCTGACAAAGGGAGCTGAAGACTAAATGTTGCAGTGCGAAGTACAAGAATGAATTTTTTTGAATCCGGTATATATCAGAGACCGAAAGGGATCGGTTCGGGTCGGGTCGGCTCCGAGTTGAGGTAAAAAATATTGATTCGGGTCGGGTCAAAGGAAAAAAAAATTTCGGCTTTTATTCGGGTCTTGCCACTTGAAGATAAATCAGGGAATTTTCTTCGGCTACGAACCGTACTCATCTATTTTTCAACATGTACCTTTTTTATCGGAAAAAGTAGTAAAGTATTTTTTCCTTCCTGCTTTGACGCTGTTTACTGTACACTGTATACTGTACAGTATCGCACTGTTGAAGCAAAGAAAGAAAAAAGGAAACAAGTAAATCCAGAAAAACGAACGCCTTAAACATGTGTCGCATTATGATGATTAAACTTCATGATAATATACGATCGAGGAACATTTCCTGTTTCGGGTTATCACAATTCGAATGAACTATCACTTGGACAAAAAGTCAGAGAAACGTTCTAAGCTATTACAAAAGCTGTAGACTTCTGCTCTTTTTCTAGAAAAATTTATTAGGTCACCTAAGAAAATTTTCGGGTCATTCGGATCAAGTTTCGAAAATTTCGTACTTGGGTCGGGTCGGGTACGGGCCTACATAGAAAATATTGATTCCGGTCATTCACCTAAGATCCGATTCGGTCTCTGGTATATATACCATTTTTAGCTGCCATTACGTTCCTTGTAGGTATGGAAGACGGCCCCCCCCCCCCATCTTTTGCATATATGAATTTTTTGTGCCATAGAAACTAGCTCCTCCTTTACGTACAAGAATTTATGAGCAGGAGTTACGCGAAGGCAGAATCTGTTCACTTACTGTAACTTTCCACCACGGCAGCAATCAAGCGAGTATTGATCACCTCGTTATTCCGTTCATTTTCTATCAACTTTAAACACGCAGTGGTTACTTGTTTATTCAAAGGTTTAAAATATACTTCATACCAAATAATCATTGATAGCTAATCGAAAACTAAAGCTTATTAATTCGGTTAACTTTACAATTTTGAACTTATTAATTTCGGTGAAAACGGCTAGAAACGGCGATGTGCTCAGATAGTCGAAACGCCACTTGTGAATATAACGTTTGTGCTAGGGATTTAAGAGTATCCCTGCTCTCTTTTTGGGCTTTCGGTAGAAATGCTGTCAAATCGCTAACGGTAACACTTGATAACTTGAAACAAAAACAATGAAATGCCTTAGCTAGTTTTATTTTTTATTTGACAGCATTTCTACGAAAAGCTGAAAAAGACTGCAGGCACATCCTTAATCTGACTTCACAACTAGATGACAAAAATGAATTTTTGCAAAGCAAAGTGTAACGAAACTGATTAAGCGACTCCGTTCTTCTGATTAATAGAGTTTTTACGGGATTTTGAGAAGCATCCTATAGAGCCAATGAATGAGACGCACGTTATTCTTGGATATCTGAAGATGTTTTCGTTCTTGGGATTTGTAAAGGAAATGTTTTTCGAAAGATTTCAATGGAACAGGGAGATAACAGGATTATGAAAGATTTTAGACTTACGGAAAATATTTCATAGATATCTTGTCTTCCTGCTTCTCGTACTCTTCGAACCCAATGGCAATTGAAATACGAACAGAATCCATTGATTACACGACTCGATAAAAAATACTTATCCCATTGATCAGCGTAATAAGAGATAAGTGCTAGGCTTTCTAAATGCTCTGCTTGCTAATAGGAAAAAATGGTTGAGAATTTTCATAAAAGCTAAATCTGAAGAGCATACATGTTTCGAATTTTCCAAATGACTACGAAGAAAATGATTTATTTTTGAATACAATGCTGCATTTGTATCAAACTTTGTATGCATACAGTAATCATAAACTATCGTATATAATGCCATTAATTCGCTCAATTGTATGGTCTGATGACCAAAAATCTGTCTGATGCCAGCTAACAGCGTTTCCCACACAACTTCAATATTGCCACTGTCCTTCGCCGACATCTTAACCCGAATATAGTTTTCTAAAAGAAATCGGCAAATGTGGGTTTCTTTCTTTGTTAAATACTTATCAGCAATAATACTAAACAACTTTTTTCACTTTTTTTCACTTTCTTATGAAACATATTCCCGTATACATGTGTGTTAGAGAACGGTGCAGTGGGAAAAAAGTTGTTTTCTTCCATTTTTTTCTGTTTAGACGGAAGAGGAAGGAAGAAGGAATTTGCCAACACAAAAATTTGTAATGAAGTCAAGTAAAATTATTAAAAAGAAGAAAATGTTTACTGTATAACACCACGAATCAAAGGCAAGTGTCGGGGTTAGATGATCGATATGAGGTGTCATATAATTTATGCATCTTTATTATACTTGCATCATGACAAGTCTATTTCATTCATCTTGTCTACTAAACTCAACGCTGTGGAAAGCATCCATCTTATTCTATTCGTCTTATCTGTGTATCAATGGTTCATGAAAGCGTTTCGCTAAAAAATGATGAAAATATCCAGAAAAAGTCTGTTCTGCTGGGAAATGGGATCTCCAAAGGTCTAGAAGCCCACGATGCCGTTGTTTAAAAATGTTTTAAACGTGCTATTCGTCATCAGAAGCTCGAGGCGTGCTAGTCCTATTACTTTCGAATTATTTAGAGAAAGTCGATGTAAACGTGATACGTTTTCGAAAGAACAATCCTAATGGCTATACAGTTTGTTAATAGAGAACTAACAAATAAGAACATACCTCTTTTCGTATATCTTTCTGTTCTCGTTTTGTCTGTTGACCCCCTGAGACGAAAAACTTTCGACACATGGGATAACTAATGTGGAACGCGATATCGCCTTGTTTTCTAGTTCTCTGATGATTGCATAACAACACCAAATCGTGTTGTATCAATTTTTTTGTGACAACGAAAGAGCAGTCAAAGTATTGCATAAAAAACCAAATAATAATGTTAATAATAAAATTAACAGTAAACGAGAAAAACAACTTATTGTAAAAGTTTATTGGACTATACTGGAAATAATGTGGGCAAAGTTAGACATCACATGCCAGGAGCATCATTTGTTAATAAATACACTAGAGATGACTTTTATTCGTTATTAAGCAAGAATACAATGGAAACAATATCGTCAACAACATTTTTGATGGATAGATGAGAACAAAGATTATTATATGACTTACGATCAAATACATGTGAAACAGAATTAAAAAACTTTATTTATTGAAAACCATCAACACCGTTATGCAAATTGTTTAACCAAAATGATTAATTATTATGCACAGAAATGTATCATAGCATTGTTAAAAACTAAGTTGACAAAGATTAGCATTAATTACAAAAATAGTCAAAAATAATCAGAAAATTGCTCCATTAAATACAGTTTTTAAAAGATTATGTAGCATTTCAATTATTTACCAAAGCGTTACACTATTTTAAACTCGACTTGTCTGAATTAAATAAATTTTGTTTTACAGCGTTTTTGTTACAGAAAAGCTCAAGCCTTGGAAACTTGATCTAGAAAAGTTACAGAAAGACAATCTGGAGGCTGGGCGCATAGTTAGGGCCAGTTAAAGTTTTCAGGTCTTGAGGTTTTCTTCTTCTACGAGTCAATAGAAAGAATCCAGACAAGCCATTATCAATTATTTTATCGTCTAGCTCTAATAGTGTCAGATAATAACCGATGGTACTCGCTGTCAGTATATATATATATATATGAGTGATTCCGGTGATTTTTGTACCGTTCGATTTAAGCTAATGGAAATGCAGGGTTCTCCTTTAATACTAAATCGAACTTTTAGAAGCTTATGCCATTTTATTCCGGACACTTTACTCTATATATACTGCTAAGATCTCTTTTCTATCTTATTTCCTTAGTGTACAGTAAGCAAAACACTTTGTTTTTGGGTTCTTTTTCTTTTCTTTTCTTAGTGGTTCCTGCACTTTCGTTTTTCTTAATTAACATTTTTCTTTTCTTAAGGGGCAGTGGAACAAAATCTTTTTTTCCTTTTTGTGCAGTATTTTACCTGCTCTGTAGTCTTAGTTTTGCCTAAAATCTCTTTTAGTTTCTGTGAAAACTTCGATGAAATTTCTGGTCCTCGAAAAGTTCAAAAATCGTGTCCCATCCCCTTTTGAGTCTACTGCGCAGCCAATAAGCACTTTAAGTAAAATATTTTCTATGAAAGAATTTACCAAACTAGGCACTATAGATTGTTGAAAACTGCAAGTTGCTAACTGTTTTCGTTTTTGAGTAATTGACATTTTACTGACGTCCAGTGGCTTGTGACATACAATTTGTCCCACCCCCTCTTGACTCTCCCTGACCGAACTACATGGAATTGAGAACTCGTTTTTTTAGCATATATGTCAAATTGGTAGCACAAGTTATGCTGTAAATAGCAAGGCTTCAGCTTATTTCTAAAGGAAGAAATTTGAAAAATACATCAAAATGTTCCACCCCTAACTTTTATCCCAACCCCAAACATATCTCTAGAACTGTTTTGGCTAATACATAAAGCCTCATATTATACGATTATACGTATTTTGACACCCTGAATTGAATGACCGGCTCAGTTTTCTGAAAACCAGCTCAGCAAAGGATTTCCAGAAAACCTGGATTTCTAGAGGCCGAAGGTTAGAAATTGTCAAAAAACATTTTCTAAGGATGCCAGTTGATAGGGCAGATGTGAAAACCTATGTTTCAATACATTTTTAAGCTCAGTTATGCCTTTTTAGCTGTATTTGTAATTTGTAACTGTATTTGCGCACCTCTACAACAGACACAAACAAATCCCAGTTACTTTATTAAAATACAAATACAAATTTAAACTTAAATTTGTATTTTTAGAACAGTTTTCTTTTTCTTGTGTAGATGGGCAAAATTGGTCTTTTTTATTTCGTGATACGCTTTTGTAAAATTTTATTTTTAATCAAGACTTTGATATAAAGACACATGTGATAGATCAATGAATGACTGAAAACTGAAAATTCGAGTGTAGTGTGTGGAATTCTGCGATGTTTTGCTGTAGGTTTTCCAGAGACCCTCCAAAGACCAGCTCAAAAACCTTGAAATGACTTGCATCAGATTCATCATTGTTTTTAAGGTATATACCATGACTTTGACGCGATTTGAACGGAAATTCAAGGTTTTAGGAAAAAATCACTTAGCCGTTTTTCAATGTATATTTTTTTTCCCTACGCTGAAGAACAAATTCAAAAATGTACACATATAACTTTATTCTAAATTTCATGGCGAATCTTATGGCGAAAGAATCAGGTCGCTAGCTCACAACCCTAAGGACTTGATGTTTTTGCGAGATCGATGGGTCGAACTTCGAGTTCCGCCGGTTGAACCTCTTGATATGTTTTTTAGTTTCTGCTGAAAAACTTTAAAACACAGTTTTCTAGATTTACTTTTCGATGTAGAATCTGAAAATATCAGTTAAAAGAAGTTAAAATGCAATCTGAAATGGTGACAGCACATTTTCTGAAAAGATGCGTTTTTTCGTGTTTTTGACCCGAGCTCAGTATTTCGGGTCTTTCTCCCTGAAGATGATATTTTTTTTAAGCTCGGACGGCGATATTCGTGATCAGTACACTTTGCTCTATCAGAATATATCTATTTGAATTAAAAATAAAAATGCGTGGTAACTTTGAATTACGCGCCTTAAATTTTTTCTTACTCAAACTCAATCACAAAAATATTGTATTGTATGTTTTTTTTGAAGTTCAGATTTCGGTTTTTTCAACAAAAAGCCATTTTAGTACCTACCATATATAGTAAAATATGGCTCGATTTTCGGTCAAAGACTTTTGCATCAACCGTTTTATTTATTCTTATAATTTATTTAGATACATTTAGAATATAAGAGCCATTTAAATACAACTATAAGGAATTTATTTAAACACATTTGTTCGAAATTGACTTTAAACGAGCTTTTAAAAGAAATTTCTTGAAATCTTCTTCATCTTTCCAACGTTTATAAATATGGTAGAAAATTGAATTAAAAAAAAAAGGCATATTTCTTTAGAAAGTGCTGCAATGGGAAGCCGAGTTGTCGATAGCGTCACTAACTTAACTTTTAATTCAACAGTTTATAATAATTTCTTGGAATAATTCTTGATAAAGAACTTGACAGTCGAGTTGTCAAAGGTACTGTGACCTACGTTGACAGTGACTGTTACTCCACTTTTCAAACTACGAGAAATTTACAGCTTTTTTCAAGAGGCTGTAGATAGTTCTCCCTTCTAAAAAATGAATACTAGAAACTGCAGAAAGCCTTTCACTTCCTCCCTTGTTTGCTTGATACCATTTGACATAAGTGCTGGAGGCAGAAATATATTTCAATGGCGTATTTTCATTGAAGGTTACCTTGATCATTTGTCTTTATGACAATGAGTACGAAGACAGATCCATAGCATAAATATTGCGAATATATGGTCATGGAGACAACATTTCATCTCAGGCACCAAAGGAGATCCGAGTTGTGTCATGGATTTGGAAATGGAACGCAAACTTTTCAGGATATTAGCTGCAGGCAATGAAATAATCAATTATTATCAATGCGTTCATTGAAAGATTTCTTCAAACTCATTTTACACATTTATCTGAAGTGTTGCATCACTGATTAACTTTCAGATGTTCATTAGATTTTTTGTAGAATCGAGTGATAGAAGATCTTCTAGCAGGGATTTACGTGAATCGTAGATTAACGTTACTTGTGTTTAGTCAAAAAACTCTAATAAAGTTAATTGAATTAAAATGATAGACAGAAATAGTTGCAACACTTTCGATCATCATCTGGTATGTTTGATAGTCAATATTAGTTATTCAATAGTTCGTCTCGTTTATTTTTCAAAACCTTTAAACTAACTTACTTACATTCAAGCGACGAAAAAACTACACCATTTATACATATATGAGAGGTTGAGAAAGTCTACATTTTGTGAGAATATTCCAGTGAATGTTCAAGAAAATTACAACAGCGTTTGACAAACGAAAGGAAAAGAGACTTCTAGAGTATTCTATACTAGACTAGAAAGGAGAGTCAATATATATTTATAAAAGTGAGGAAATCGAACCGTTACCCGAATTCAGTTTTATTCATAGGGTGGGTATAACGTGAGTAGAAGAGTCGAACTGGGCATTGTCGAAACCTTAGAACTAATTCTGAGGAGGAATTTTATACATGAATATTTTCTCAACTCGAAGCCTAGTGAAAATTGTATTTATTATGTTTTATCGTTCCATTTTACAGTTAATCATACCTATTATATACCACTAGAAAGTTCTTTTCCTCAGCAACATTTCTATATATAACTAATATTGAAAATTGATTGCAGTTGAGCAGAGAAAAAATCGAAATAGTATTTACGACTATATAAGATACGAGATCTGTTCTCTATAGTTGCAATCTTATGGTTATTTTTTTTGTTTGACGCCACTCCACTGAATATACCATCTGATAGAGCGTTCACGGGTTACAATCTGATATGCAGACATCTGAACAAAATAGTGTAATAGTGTAGGTATATAATTCTACTATTTCAAATATACTGCAAAAAATATGGTCGATAAAAGTAGTTTTAAACTTCTGAAAAGGTGCCTTGATTGTTCATGTCAAAATGGATCCAAAAATAAATGCAATCAGATAGTTACTGCTACTTAAGGTTCACGTTCGTGTCAAAAACCTATGCCAATATATACAAGTTAAATTTCAACCATAGTTTCAGAAATCTTCACATTCCCAAAGTGTGATAATGAAATCTTTTTTAAAATTCTATCTACTACTCTTCAGCAGATGGCGTCATAGCACTGGTTAAAATTATACTGTCAGAGTCGAGCATACTTCTCTACTCGCGTAGCAGTTATAGTCCTCAGGTTAGTTAATGACCGATAGCAACACAATTACAAAGTTCAAGTTTGAATTTTTCCTTTGGCGATTCATTGTGATAACTTTACTGACAAAAATGGGAACATCCTTCTAAAGTTTTCCAAAGATCCTTACTTCTAGAAGACATAAAAGCCTAGTTTAAACATCAAAGTCTGTTATGGAATCACTGCTACTGTTAGGAATCGAAATTTGACGTTTTCCTTACCCTGTGTTTAAGACTGTATAATAGAAATAAATCTGGAAATTCAGTGAGTCGGTTATGTTTGTCGAATAGTATTCTATATTTTTGGTTTCAGATAAAATGCATTAATTGGTGTTACTGTTCTTGTAAAATGACGTTTCATATGAATAAAAGTTAAAATTTTATTAATTATTTTGGTTAATTCTTTTCTAAATATTGTTCCTGCTAATGTGTATATATAAAAATTGATACCACTATTAATAAGTGACCATAAAAGCAATACTGATTGAATGAATGCTTCAATAACCAACCGTTCTAAACTTTTAACACGTTGATATGTTAATCCAATATACAAGTCAAATATGGCATATGGTGCGGTTAAACATATAAATGAAATAACTTGTATTATTAACATATATATGATTTGTGTATTGATTGCTCGTTGTCGTGAATATTGTCTTGGTACAATCGCACGACGAGATTGATTTACATTTCGAATTGTTAATATTCCAAATATAATGTAAATAACAGGTGTCATAACTGCATATACCGCCATATAATAAGAATATACAAATAATGAATAATAATATGATGTTGATGCACATTTGTTTTTAACAAAATCCATATATATTATTAAATGTATATGGACTAAAAAAGATACAATTGTTGTAAAAATAATTAAACGATAAGCTATTAATGGACGACTAAATTGTCGACGTTCAGCTGATCTGTGACTGGAATAATAACGATCAATGCAAGCTAACATAATAAACCATGATGATAGAAAGTATGATACATAAAAAAGATATGGTTGAATTTTACATAGAATAGGTGCTCGTGCTGTTAGAGTAATTCCATAACCGTTTATTAAAATAATAAATAACATACCAAATGTTAATGCTACAATATTAGAGACGGATGAGGCTAAAATATACAGAGAACATGTATTTGTTCTCAATGATTTCTGTGTAAATACCATTATAGTCAGAATATTACCAATTTGTCCAAAAATAAATATGATTATTGATACAGAACGACACAATTCTGCTGCTACAGCAATCAATGTTGTTATTAATGGAGAGAGTGTAGACATATCTTGACGTATGAAAAGTTGTATTAAATGAAGAATGTTGTCTGAATCATTAGTAACGTTATTTTCTAAAGTGAAGCGCTACATACAATTATCCCAATTTGCCTCATAGTAGACTTACTGTCAGAAATCAAAAATCTTTAATGACATGAAATGATAATAATGCTTTTTATCAAGAAAATACGTTCATTAAAATGTAGTCTCACGATGAAAGACTGCTTGTCACTTGAATCACATTATGTTTGGATAAATGTGTTCAAGAACGATTTAGTTTAATAATGTATGAACTGTCCTATATATAGATAAATACACTTAATGAATGTCTCAAGAGACATTCTGCAACGAAATCGATCTGTATATAGTTTTTGAGTAACTGACGGTATTTTGAATCGGAACATCTATCAAAAGAGAGGATTAATAAGATCTAATTTGGTGAGGGTGAGGGTGAGAGGGAAATATTTGAACCAAATCAGTAAAATATTGGTGACGAAAAGTATAAGAACGCATTTTTGTGGGGCAAAAATAGTGAATGTATTTATGAACATTCTTTGTCTGTACCGCTTTGGGTATATTATTTATGATTTCTTTTATGATGTTGTATATTATCTCGGTTAAAAATTATTAAGTAGTTGTCTTTCTTTTCCGTTAAGCAGTTGTTCTTGTTCTTGTTTCATGCTTTCTCCGTGCCGTGTTAGATGAGATAGTTCGTTTTGGGGATTTTTACGAAAAATTAAAGACCTCACAACCCAGATGATCAAAGCTATTCTCCCTCATATTTTGCTCATAGATACGTTTTCAGTGGCTTTTGGTTTTTCTCATACCTCACGAAGGAAATGATCGTTAGAGTTGAAATTTTTTAATAAACACATTATTATAGTCTCTAGTAAGAGTAAAAAAAACAGAACGTATCCCTTTTTTTTCTCGATTCTGCGCACAGAAAATATCCTTAATTTAACAATAACCGTTAATAACACGGGTGACTTTGGTTTCAGATGAAAAACATTTTTTTCAGTCGCCAAAAAAGGTCTCAATATGTATGCAGTATAATGTTATTAATGACTGCTTGTACAAAACAGACTGAATCGTTTCCGTTTTTGCGTACAAATAGTTTTTCATAGGATTCTAGTTTCGGTCCAGAAATAATTATTTACTAGGGGAGACGGTTATTTTCTTCACAGGCATATTGAATGCACTACACGAAACCCCAAAATTTCGACGAAATAATACCACAAAGTTTGTTAACACAAAGAAAAAGATTAAAGTACATATTTGATTTATTATCAAAATTTTATCCTTGGAAATGTAACAATGCATAGTGAATACGAATGATTCACATTATCGAAGTATAGTATTGTTCAGAGCTGATCACCTGCATAATTTTTGCGCAGGGCAAAATAAAATTTACCCGCGTTGCAGTTCGCACGTTAGAAAAAAGTCTTTTATCCTGCACAGGAAGAACGTGAGGGTGAAAACTTCTGCACTCCCGTGCTCTGCAGCTGGGCTGCCATACCCTAAGGCGGGATATAACAATTTTCTTTCCTACTGACCAGTATCGGGTCTCCATTACAAACTGATAGTTATAGACTCTATCATCAGTTACTTTTCGCTATTCTTATTATCGTTTTCTCTTCCTTTTATCATTATAGTCTGTTGTCATCTTCTTTGACTGAAAAGTATGAAAAAACTTTCTGACTTATGAGTTTCTGACCGCTGTGTTCTAGAATTTACAAAATGAGCACCGTCGTCGATTGGGAAAAGTAGCCATCTCTGATATTTTGACTATAACTCCGCCATTTTTTATCCGTTCTATTCGAGCAACATCTCATTCGAAAGCGTGATAAAAGTGAATAAACTCACATAGTTCCTAATTTTTCTGAAGTAGGAAGTGATTGTTTAAGACCCACATCAATTGGAGAATTGGAATTTTGAAGGATCAAAATTTTCGAGAAAATGCCATTTTTGCCCCTCCAAGCAGACTTTCGCCAACAATTCGAAGGTCACATGCGATAGAGAATTCAATTTTCCACCAACTGAGCGCAAAAACTTTATTGAAGTATAGTGATTATTCTCACGACATGGTTAAACTTTATCTTTATCCGACATTGTAGCGCCTAAGAGAAATGTATTTAGTGAATGTTATTTCATTTCCAGTTTTTTACGATGGAGTACTTACGACTTGGCTGTTTACAAGATGGATTAAAACAGGAATTGCAACATGATGCATTAAGCCAACAAATAACAATACCACAACAATTTTTTAATATTATGCAACAACATGAACATATTCAAGTCAGATTATCAAATGTGCAGCTCAATGACTTAGGGTCAGCAGCGACAATACAAGAAACATCGACTATAAATGGTGTCCAACAATCAAATACAACATCAATCGGCCGTTCACAACAACAGCAGTCAGCTCATACCTCACTATCAACAAACAATCGTCCACAAAACTCAAATAGTAATAATCAGCAATATATTAATTTCAACACACGTCCACGATATTATAATCAACAGTAAGTATGTTATACATGTGGCCAGCCCAGACACTATGCCAGATATTGCTCGCAATATTTAAACCAGTGATGGAGCCACGTAATAGTGGTAGTGGCTCCAATAATCATAATATAAAACCATCACCTTTAACATTTATTACAGTTCTAGTGAATGGAAAAATGATCAAAACACTAGTGGATACCGGAGCAACCAATTCAATTATTAATCAGTCCACCTTATCAAAGCTTCATCACGTACCAATCACAAGACAAAGTTATTATTATCAATTAGCCAATAAGACTAATATGCATTTTATTGGCGGAGTACAACTGAAGGTTAGAATTAAATATATAACCACCTGGGTTACTGCATCGGTGGCGGATTCATTATGTACCGATTTTATTTTGCGTAAAGACTAGATACGACAATAAAAGGTGATATATTAGAAAGCAGTCAGTCGATTAGAACTAGATCTGGTCCAGTACCAATACAATTTGATGAAGATACAGAAAATGTTGCTTTTGATATTAAACTTCTTCATCCAATTACATTAGGTCCACGACAAGAATGTGAGGTTGAAATGCAAGTTCCCATTTCAACAGCTGACACAGTTATATTTCATCCAAAACAACAACTTCAACATAATCCGACAACTTTGATGCCACATGCATTACTAAAAATTACAAATTATACGACAAAATTGACGGTAATCAATCTAAATGATCATCCAAGATATATTCCACAAAATACCAGATTAGATGTTATTACCTATGCTCCATCTAGTGTGCAATGTTTTGCATTAACTTCATCATCACCATCAAAGCGACACTCATGCTTGGATATTCAGCACCATGATGGCAGAACCCAGCAATCACCAACATCAAATGCATATATAAATTGATCAGTCATTTAGATGAACAAAAACAACAAGTATATCCAATGTCATTGAAACCTCGAACATTATTTAATTTATCAAAAATGACAATAGCAAATACACAAATTCGACATGTAATTTGCACGGGAGATCATAATCCGATTAGTTCCAGTCCACATTCAGGAACTATTCGACAACAACAAATATTAGCAGAGCACATTCAATAGATGGAAAAGAATTATTTCATTAGACGTTCAACTTCACCATAAGCGCTTCAGTTGTCTTAATCAAGAAGAAAGACGGATCAACCAGATTTTGTGTAGATTACAGGAAACTTAACAACATCATCAAAAAAGATCCCTATCCATTACCACATATGGAAGAAACAATTAATTGCTTAGTTGGTCACCAATTTTTCACTAAATTAGATCTTATTAATCCTCTCTTTTGATAGATGTTCCGATTCAAAATACCGTCAGTTACTCAAAAACTATATACAGATCGATTTCGTTGCAGAATGTCTCTTGAGACATTCATTAAGTGTATTTATCTATATATAGGACAGTTCATACATTATTAAACTAAATCGTTCTTGAACACATTTATCCAAACATAATGTGATTCAAGTGACAAGCAGTCTTTCATCGTGAGACTACATTTTAATGAACGTATTTTCTTGATAAAAAGCATTATTATCATTTCATGTCATTAAAGATTTTTGATTTCTGACAGTAAGCCTACTATGAAGCAAATTAGGATAATAGGCATGTTCCATGAGAAAACTATCCTAAGAATAGCTGAACGTATCAAGTTGTGATTTGGTTCCTAAGGGTTTCTTGACACGCTCTTTCTTTTTGTCTCTAGAAAGTTTTCTCCAAAAGCCTTGGAAGTATGGTTTCTGGAAAACCGTAGTTTTCCAGCTATAGGTGTCGAAAAAAAAGAGTTTTGTAAAATACTGCGCATTAGAAAAAGCTTTTCAATATGATATTCGGATTCAGCATGAACAGATGAATATTTAAAAAGAAATTTAAGTCTCAAACACAAAATTTAGACTTGTGAATTGATTTTCAAATTTTAAAACTCCTGATTTTTTAAAATTTGCAATAACTTAAGATGGGTAGGTGATATAAAGCTGGTTCAAACGTCAATCGATAGAGAATTTAAAACTGAACAAACGTAGGGGTTTGACAATATTCACATATCAGGTGATCCTGGGTTTTTAGAGGGTCTCTAGAAAACCCTTTCTATAATTTAGCTTATAGTTTAATGTTTTGAGCTTTAAACTTTATTATTGAACTTTTTATGGTTTCTAGAATTATAAAGTATTTAAAATATTATAATTATCTACTGAAAATGCTTGTAACATTTATATGAACCTATTTCGATCCATTGTATTCGTTTGCTATAAGGGCATAATGAGAGTTCTCTTCTTTTTATTTATACAG